AGACTGGTCAACTCTAACAGCAGCTGCTCTGGCAGAGTGGAGATCTTCCACAACGGCAATTGGGGGACGGTGTGTGACAACATTTGGGATGTGAATGACGCTCAGGTGGTGTGTCAACAGCTGGGCTGTGGCAAGGCTTTGTCGGCACCAAGAAGGGCACATTTTGGACAAGGAAGTGGACCAATCTGGCTGGATGACCTTCAGTGTCTGGGAACTGAGTCATCACTAAAAGACTGTACACACAGAGGATTAGGAACTCACAACTGTGGTCATTCTGAGGATGCTGGTGTCATCTGTGAAGGTAACTTTGTACATCTACAAAATTGTTTTCTTCCCTGCAAAATATAACTCTAATTTGGAAGAATCATTGTTATGTTTCATTCAATCTCACAAACGATAGTTTTAATAAAGTGCTGCAGGAATTGGTCCTAAAAACCCAGCAATGAGTTCAAGTTCTCGACAAATGGAAGTCAGTGGGATTTTTGAAAGCGTTTTTGGTAGGATGCCTGAAACGAGGTCTGGTTAACACAATCTGAAGAGATTCAAGCATTTTGTTCTATGACATAAAATACGTCAGTAAATATCCCGCTCATGAAATTGTAAGCCTTAAAGATGGTTTCTAACAGTGCCTAAATAAGACTAATGAACGTCATTCTTTTTATCTTAATCTCTTATTACTTTTACCCCTACTTTACATCCATTTTATGAAATATGGTGTCATAGAATCCTATATTTTCCAGATAATATCTCATCTTTACCTCAGAAGAATCATGTGTGAAGGGAGTATGTAAGAGATGATAATATTTAATAATAAAGAAGCCAAATGATCAAGTACAGCTGCATTGAAGAGTTGGGGCTTTTGCTCAATATGTATGTTGCCATGAGAGTTGATGGATATTTTGCTTTCGCTTCAACCAGATTTGACTACAGTGAGACTGGTCAACTCTAAAAGGAGCTGCTCTGGCAGAGTGGAGATCTTCCACAACGGCAATTGGGGGACGGTGTGCGACGACGTTTGGGATTTGAATGACGCTCGGGTGGTGTGTCACCAGCTGGGCTGTGGCAGGGCTCTGTCGGCACCAAGAAGGGCACATTTTGGACAAGGCAGTGGACCAATCTGGCTGGATGACCTTCGGTGTTCAGGAACTGAGTCATCACTAACAGACTGTACACACAGAGGATTAGGAACCCACAACTGTGGTCATTCTGAGGATGCTGGTGTCATCTGTGAAGGTAACTTTGTACATCTCCACATTTCTTTTTTTTCTGCATAAATAAAACTGGAGAATTACAAAAACATGGTTATTAATTTAACCTTGCAGGTTTGCAGTAGGACATCTGTTAACACCGACCATTGGACCAAAAACCTGTGAGTACGAAATATAACCAGGTATCAGTGCAGACATCTCAGCACAGTGAACTGTTCTGAATTCATAACCATGTTTCTTTTCGTCTTGATCTTTAGGCGAGGACTGACCGAATGCTGTCTATGTATTTCAATATATACAAAATGACATCAAGAGTATACAACATTAAAATCAATATTCACACTCTAATATTTCATTCAATCATTTCTAC